TGTCCTCCCATGAATCTCCTGACTAGTGAGCAGGTACTGATTATAACCGACTTCTGGAGGCCGATGATGATGCTCTTCTCCAAGCAGAGTTTTTCCGGCGATCTGCAGAGAGTTTTTGGTATCACGCCAAATGCGTATTATTATTATTATGATTATTATTATTATTTTGGTTTCCTGTACAGGTGTGACGTAATGAATTCACGAAAATTATAAATTTGTACTATTGGCGCATAAACTTGGCATTTTCATGATTTCATTGAGAAAATCAAACATTCTAGATTTGGCAGTCAACATAACAAATCGTTATTCGCATACAGACTTTGACTCGCTCAAATGTGGGGTGAAATAGTTGAAAAGGTTAATTACTGTATATAATCAAATATGACCCACATATTTTTTTCAACAATTGCTAGCTGAAAATTGGGGTGCAGGTAATATTTGAGTCAATGTTTGTACCACGTGCTTGAAATGTGTTGCGTGTGGTCACATGGGGGCATGGGTTATATTTCAGTTTTTGTTTAGTGATGTCTCAGGGCCTGTCTCATGGCATGTCACATCTTTCTCGGTCTGCTGCTATATGTCATTATTTCTACTGTGCAACAGGGGGCTATGCTAATGTTCAACATCTATTCTACAATACATCGTGAAATTATAATCATGAGATCAAGAATGTCACTGAATTTGCTTTTAAAGATTAAAAGTTTCTTATGTCTCTTCCAGAAGTCACACACACTTTATACTGTTTTTGAAGTAAAATGAAGAAATATATTAGGCAATGCATTATATTTAAAAGTCTGTTTTGGAATGTACAGGAATGTGTCATCATCGTACATCCACCACAGTGCACTTGTCTCAAACTATTCATACCGTTCTCTCATTCCCTAGCCAAAGAATACTTCTAACTAGGGTTTTTTTTACTAATTACCAGATAAAACAAGTAAGAGGTTTTTTCTTTTTGGTGGACAGAGACTCTCCCTTTTCTGCTGGTTTCATTTGTTAGATTTTCTCTACAATCTCTTTCGCCTGTTCTGAGGAACATAGAGCAAACACTCCTTGATTCTCAACCAAAATTGCTATTTCCTGAGCCACAGCAGACCGTCGAAGAAGTGAAATGGGGAGAGGGGTGAGGGGAGGAAGTGGCCCTAGCTATGACTAAAGCATTTTCAGGACTGCAATCCTTTGAATTCAGTTCATTGGACAAGTCTGGACTAGAGCAAACACATTATTTTCTTGACATTGACATTTCTTCTGACATGACTTCATTGACATTTCTGAACAAAAAGGAGTGGAAAGGCAAAGCAGCCTTTGCAGAGAAACTTTTTCAATGCTCTCTCTCTGTACATATTTTTTGTATATATCTCTGTATATACTGTAATTGTTTAGACAATGTACAGGTGTTATCACTGAAAGGAACTAGCGGTGCTACAGAATGGAACAGACTTTGCCATATTAGTTTTCTATTTCCTTTGGTCTCAGCTAGTTCCATGAACTGGCCACATGCTCTTGCCAGCTTCTACTGCTGCCAAAAGAATATTTTTTTGAAATTTTCTTAATTTTTTGGTTTTCTAGTAGTAGAATGGAAATATTATTTTAAGAATATTAAGGAACAGTAAAACCTTCTCCTAAATGGCAATTTTTTTAAAAGAAATTTAGAGCCATTTTTAAGACAGTGGCGTTTAAACGTTACTGTAAATTTGAAGGTCTTTTTCACAGAAAATGTTTGAGTTTTTGAAAAACTTCGTTTTAAGTCATTTGAAGCACTTTAAATAACAAATACAATAGTGTTTGCAAACTGATGGAAACGTACATATTAACGGTGTGAGAGATCTTACATTTGACAATTGATTACAATTACATTTGAGTAGTTTAAAAAAAAAAAATGGAGGAATTTATGTCTTCTTATAGAGTGCATTTATTCTATCCCTATCAAAAGTTTAAAGAATAAATTTGGAGTTGTTTTTGAAAAAATTTTGATTTTATGATTTTTTTTTTTTTTTTTTATTGCAAATATTGCACGTAAACTACTAAAAGTTTCAAAAAAATGTACATGATCTTAATGAAAGAACTCACTATGGACAACAAATTTTGTATGAAGAGGAAACCACTATCTTCAATTTTGTTGTTGTAGGAAGATTCGAGGGAAAAAATCACACTTTCAAAAATTCAGAGATAACCATGAACATTGGACCTATGCCACCTTTATAAATGTACTTTCCTCTATTGTTACAAGAAATTTAAAGAAAAATTTTGAGAAAATTTTGAAAATAGCGAAGTGTTTTTCAATATTGCCGCACCTCAAGTGATATTAGATTGACCAATGAATATCCATTTTAGAGAAAATTGTATGATTTAGGCATTAGTGATGTTCTCAGACAGACAGACGTTTTGAAAAGAAACACTTTTATGGTATTAGGGGACCTCAAAACGTGCATTTCCATTGAAATGTCAAAATTGATTTTCCGCATCGTTACTAACTATATACTATGTATCTTACTCTGCATATACGTGCGTATAGGGGAAAGTAAAAATGCTGAATTCTTAATATTTTTACTCTATTTCCTTATTGATGTTATACAAGGAAAATTTCAATAAGTGGCTAAAGCGTAAAGAAGTTGCTTATGTAATTATATGTATATAAGAAATTAGATCCATAAAGTAAATATTTATGTGCTCAAAGTAATCCTGAAGAGAATCACAAAACTAAATATCTCTAATTTTTGTTGGGTTGTATTTATTCAACACGTATAATATAATTTTTTCATAATTATGCAAAATGCAATGCTGAGGTTAACAGCCTGTGTGCAAAAATCTGTATTTTCACAATTTGCTTTTTGTGTGGAGTATATCACTATTACTTTCATTGCTTCAATTGATTAGAAGAATTAATATACTGAAGACAAGTTGGTCTCTTTTTATATATAAATTTGATATTATTTTGTTTCAGGTGCTGGAGGAGTTGATCAACATGAATCATTTTGATTCCTTTAAGCGTGCAGATGTGTATGCTCTTGGGCTCATTTTCTGGGAAATGGCTCGCCGATGTAACATAGGTGGAATTTATGATGAATATCAACTACCTTTCTATGATCTTGTTCCCTCTGATCCCACCATAGAAGAAATGCGAAAAGTTGTGTGTGTTGATAGACAGCGTCCTTCCATACCTAATCGTTGGCAGTCATGTGAGGTAATTGTGTTATTTGTATTGATTATACTGAACATTTATATTGAACATTTATTGTGCAACCTAGTCAGCACATGCATTCAAGGTCTAATGTGCAAGTGTATTGCTGTATGTCACTGTAAGCATAGTGACCATAAAATTTGTTATAAATTTTCATTATTATCATTATTATTATTATTATTATTATTATTATTATTATTATTATTATTTCTCTACATCACAACTAAGATGTTCTGGGTCTGCTGAATATAAAATCTACTCCAGGTTGCTACCAGCCACCCAAGGAGCAGATCTAGTGACTCTCAGTGCCGCTTCAATACTTTGTACAAAATTTGGGCTGTTCCAAATTTCTTGCAATTTTGTGCTCTTTTCGGGCTTTTGAATGACCTGATAGTTTAGCCAAGTTCTACCATAAATTTTGTGGAACAAATCTCAGAGCTCCAATGACTATCGGTACGACCTGTGCTTTTACGCCTCACATTCGGCTGATCTCGATTTCCAAATGCTTGTTTGGACTATAATTATTATAGTTAAAATGAATAATAAACTATTATTATTATTATTATTATTATTATTATTATTATTATTATTATTTATTCATTAATAAAAATCACTAGCATATTCTTTCTTTAAAGCACAAACTATGATCTGTTGCTGTCTTCAATAAATCTTTCCTTTCCAAGATATTTTCATTTAGGCAGAGAATTTTCGTTGGTATATTTTCAGCAGGACAGATTTTTATGACACAATTACCCCAAAGTTATTTTATCTTTTAAAGTTATTTAAACATAATTTATAGCATTCAAAAAAATTAAAATGTTTTGTAGGGTGTATAAAAATATATATTTTGGCATTTTAATAATTTACATATATTAATATATTTATAAAAAGTCTGTGTCATTCTTCTGTCACTTGTCATCAACAAAATCATTTACAATCAATTCAAATAAGAGTGTAGTTTTTAACTGCAATGTACAATATTAAGAGTTCAGTAGTTTCATAGCAGCTGGTGTGAAATGTTAAAAGCTATGTAACTACATCACAAAAACAGTTTGCTGTCTAGTTTAGAGAATTCCATTATTTAATGTTGTAGTCTTATATTTTGAGTTTCTTTAGTTACATTTTTATTATTTTAACAATCTCCAATGCACAACCTCAATTTATGTTGTCATTTTTAGGATACAGGAATTCACCACCTAGTTACCAGCTTACTACCTTTTTATTGCACGACTTGAAATACAAAGGTTCTTTACAATTAAATGAAAGTATTTTATTTCAAAAAAATACTGGGCTTCCCATATTTATTTGTGTTCATTCCAAAATATGCAAATTCTTCCTAATCATAAAACCAATGTGATACAAGTAAAGGTACAGAGCACACAAGATGCTCCTGGGTTTTGTTTGACTCTTAGCATTGTAGCTAACAATATTTGGCTGGCAATATGTGACAAATTGGTTCAAAGCATGTATTGTAATAAGTGTTATCTTTAATGAACTGATATTGCATCTTTCCATTTTCTGTTGTCACTTCGACTTATGGTGCCATTGGCCCACGTTGGGGCATTTGCATGCTAAAAGGTATGCTTTGTATATAATATAAGGGGCTGATTTTTCTGATACTTTTATGGTAAGACAGAAGGATTATTTCAAAGTTTGTTTAAAAGTTTGAAAGTATGCAGTTGGGCAGTGAGTGCCTGCTGTTAATGTTATTTTGAATTTAGATTTTTACAAAACTTTTAAGTTGTGAAAGTGAATATTAATAAAAGTACAAGTAACTTAAGAGTATTATGTTACAAGATTTTTCTCTCTCTTTTTTCAGGCACTGCATGTAATGTCTAAACTTATGAAAGAATGCTGGTATCAAAATGCAGCAGCTCGTCTTACTGCACTCCGAATTAAGAAGACATTGGCTAATCTAGGTGCAAATGAAGACCTCAAAATATGAATAAAGAGAATGAAACCTCTTCCTTTGTAAAATAAAAGATAGAAACACTAGCAAGGGAAGGCAACACAAAGTATAACGGACTCCGTCCCAGGTGAGAGTTACACGTACAGACCGCTAGAATTTCAAAGTGTTCTTCGGTGCCTGTTTTTATCAGATGATCTGATACCTTCATCATCATACCTCATGTAGGGCAAAATTTTACATGTACTTAGGCTTGACAGATGGTTGATATCATTTGAATTTTGTACTCCCTAAAGTTACATTTCAGAAGATTTGAATTAATTTTTTGTACATTCATTGTTATGTGACAGCCCACAAGCAAGGCTGTTGTGCAGGAAAGCGAGTCTGTAGGTGTGCTTCTCAGTTGAGACATAGTTTGCCCCTATGTGGTGAGTTCAGGCAGTTGTCCTGCTGGGGGGGGGAGGGTGAAACCACCCACTGGACCTGACGACTGTGACATTTTCACTAGTCATGCCTTTTTTTGTTTGAAACTTTTTATGGAGTCATTTTTATATATATATGAAAGTGAATGAGTGTGAAACTCAGTTTAGACTAACAAATTATATGTAAAAAAAAAAATAACAAAATAATTTTTAAAAGTCGTGATTAACTTATAGTAGAGCGGTCTCACCCAGCCTGTAGCTCCTGTAGCCGCCAAGACACTGCCCCCAAGTCTTGTTGAGTGTCCAAGACCCTGAGGGTCTGCACTTGTGAATCTCAAGGGATACAGACCAGAAATACAATTTTCATCACAAGTAAGGCGGTGCAGCCAACCTGCCATGTGCAATGTACTCTAATATAGTGGTGGGGGAAAGAGATGTGTTCTAGAACTCTCTATAGGTAGTTTACATGATGGCGGCTTTCATCTCCTAGAAAATGAATAGAAATAGTTCATAGGAACATGTAGATTTTTATTGTGGATGTGTCTCCACAGCTTTCACAAGAGTTAGCAGATGAGAGACTGGCTGCACTGCTTTGCTCTCAGTCTTTGCTCAGAACTACATTTTTTACTGCAGATTTCATTTTGTAAAATATTTTTACTTAAATTATTAACATAGTATAATTCTTAGGATGTTGCCACATTTGGGTATCTCTTTCACGCATGCTTTTGGACCCACCCTTGCATTGCTGAATTCTGATCAACCATAGAAGATATAGAGCTGTGTGAAGGCAGTGTTTCTCAATGAAAAATAACAATTAACTTCTTAGCAAAATATTATAAAAATTGAAGCTAGTTTGTGATAATCCACTTCGGTGTGCTGTTCACATGCAAAATGGGTAGAAAAATGAGGGGAAAAATTTAAATTTTAAAAATATCATTATTCCTATTATTTTTATTGGTCATCTCTAAATTCAGTGACACCTAATATTCCACAGAATGTTTTTGGTTCTGTGGTGAGTGGTTGTGACTTAGTGAAATGACTTGTTACTGAAAGGATGATCAGCTACTAATTTTTGGTCAGAGAACAAAATATTCCCTCTAATTTTGCCACACTTACACAACTTCCAAGCCTTCAGTAGGTTTTATAATGGCATCTCCTAATAGTTTGGTGTATGGTGTTAACTTAATCACATTAGAATTTCCTTAGATCCGTGGGTTTCTTGGTTCTTAGTGGAATAGGAAAAGTTACCTTTTGATTTCCAACTTATGTATTTTAATGCAGCTTGTTAATCAAAATGTGAAACGATATTGAAGGTAACAACTGTTATAGAGTATCTGATTTAAGTGTATGCCTTCTGACTTTGCAGAGTGTAGAAACCTGCTATTAGTACTGGTTCACACGTGGACTACTTGCTAATTCTCAATACAGTCTCATTATTGTCTTGTTTTATGGCCAAATTGCTGTGTTATGAAACTGGATTGCTTCTCTTCTATTGACCCAATGCTGGATTGTAACATATTTTGAGAATCTCTCATTCTTGAAACCATACTCTGAACCACATACACAAAAAATGTGCGTGATGTGTGCTACCCAGAAGCATCATAAAAGAAATTATAGCAATTCAGTTATTGGCACTCCTACAATCTAGGATGATTGCCCTGCACACCTTACACAAAAATTGCATATTTTTTAGGATTTTAAATTTAATTTACCTTTTTTAAACTTCTCCACATTTTAGATTCTTGGTGCAGCTTAGCCATATGAATGGATATTCTAATCGCATATTAATATCAACATCAATCAATTTAGAAGAGATTTAATATGACAGCTTACAGTATGTGCTAGAATAAAACGAGCAGCTATCATAGTGAAAAACAATTCACCAAAAAGAATTCATTTCTAACTTTGATTTGTGCTACATAAGTTGTCAATTTATTAAGTAACTAGCTTATTACCCATTATTGCTTAGGTATTTATTTATCAAAATTGTCTATTAAACAGCTCCACATGCTCTTTCCACCTCTCCCTGCATGCACACACTCATACACCACCCTACCCACATGTCTGCCTGCGTTGCCCATCTCACCCTCCTCTTCCCGCATGCCATACCATCCTTGCCTTCTGCCTTCCCTCACATGTCCCATTCCACATGCCTTTCTGTCCTACGTACCCAACCTGGCCCCACATCACCCACCAACAATGCTGCTTAGACGCATTCAAAGTTGCATAATTTGAAGTCAACTTTTGAAACCCAAACCCTCATCCCCCTTTCCCCTCTCCCCCTCGCCATCCCCCCTTCTTTCTCCTAAGTTTTTTCTCAGCTTCACAGATTTTTTCTGCAACATTTGAGAGCAATCACTGTTGGAAACGTTTTGTGAATCAATTGTAGACCATTACACCCATCAATTTGATATATTAAGTTGATCATCACAATTAAAATAGTAACCTACACAGACATCCAAATTCTAGCCCAAGTGGCAATTAAAACAATTCTGATAGGATTTTTTTCAAAACAATATGGTTTCTTAATTCAATATAAATGTGTGTGCGTGGTTGGGGGGGGGGGAGCAGTTTAGGATTTGTTTTTCCTTGTGTTCAGTATACATTTTACCCAGAGACCTCATTCCCCATTACTTTTGCAATTATATATATTTATGGGATGACTCTTCAAAGTCTCCTTTTAAATACCTGATTGACATACTGCATTCTATTTAATGAAGAACACATTTTATTATTTAATTTTTTCAGTTATTACAGTTTGATGATTTCTTCAATGTAAGAAATTTTACTTTCATTGGCATTTTCTTACACCAGCAATTGTGAATTGAACTTGCATTGTTTGCAAAACTGAGAGGTTAAGCAATGTCATCACAAATGTTGAGAAATGAACTGTCAGCTATTGGTTACATTTGGAGAATGAAATTAGGACCATTAGTTTTTAATATTCCAGTGTAAGTTGCAAAGATGTATTTATGTAGATTGTTCAGCATTCTACAATTTCTCCAAAGTAGACCATTAAGTGGTGTTAAATTAAAAATCCCTTGTGTTTCGTCCAGACATTTAATTGTCTTTTTTGGTGTGTTGTGAGAAATAAAACTGGTTGATCCAATTGGTCCTATTCATAGGGATTTTTCTAGTAAAGTTTTTCACCCTAAATTCATATAAACTAATTGAAATTTTCCTGAACTCTGAGTTTTTTTTTAATTTAAGAATTTTTTATGTATGGTACCATGTCATGAAACATTACATGATTACATATGGTAGGTGCGTGGGTAAAAGGGAATAAGTCAAGTTGTTGTCCAAAACGAGTATGCTAGAACATTGTTACAATACTATCATTAAGTATTGGGGAAATGTAATATTTCAATTTTGCGATTAATCTTTCTTGACAAAATTGAAATGATAGTTATCTCCATATTCACAATAATAGTATCGTAGTAAAATAATGTTCTGGCATTCTCATTTTGGACAAAAGCTTGACTTATCCCCTTTTGTATGCCATAGGTGAGTGTAATAATTTCCTGAATATAAACTTATATATTGCTGCACCAATATCTCATTTTTTTAACATTTTGTTGCTGCAATGAAGACTAAATTGGAGATTTTGTATTTGCTTCTCAACTTGTGTGATATATCTAATTCAAGAGTAACAGAAATTCAGATACTTTCCATGCAGTTCGATGTGTCCTGAGCCATTAAATTATTCCGTGGATTGTCATTTCTCAAATAAGTGTTGGAAATTTGGTAAAGAATGGTTTAAACCCTTCGAAGTTTCAAGTGATAGTGTAATAAATTATCACAAATATTAATTTCTTTTAAGTTTCATTAAGGACTTGCAAACATTCTGTATCATTTGGGGAGGAAACAAACTACGTATATGAATTCAAGACAAAAAGGGTATTGAGAATTGTGTTTTTCTCTCATTGGCCAAATTATGAAAATTAAATTTTATTGATCATTGAAATTATTTAAAAGTTTTTGTCACTTCTGTTTTGGCTCTTTTTGATTCTACAGCTTTCAGTTAAATTTTCTGAGTATTTCCGTGAATTATTGTTGTCAAACGTGTTTGTGGTTTTCTTGACATCTTTTCTAGTTATTTGTCATTTAGTTGAAGGTTCATTGAGGAACACTGCCAGAAATGAATTTAAAAGTTTCATTGTTTTCACATACAGGATGCATTCCATAGATAAGTGAAACTGACAAGCATTTTGAACAAAATTTTTATAGCAATGTATTCCATACCTCAGGATCACAACTTGTGCTACTGTTCCTTGCCAACAGGCAAAGGTTTACATACTATAATGAGTTCTGTAGTTATTTGTCATTAGTACTATTATATACAGATTAGACATATTTGCTCTGTACATTGCCAAGTGTGGTTCAACTCTTGACTTTGTGCGTAAATATGTCTCCCACTCTTGCCAGGTGCTGAGTTTATTTAGTGAGTACTGACCTGTTCGTTCTGCATGAAGCAGATGTGGTTTGTTGAATATTGATTGTGACTCATGTCCCCATGAACCCCATGATGTCCCATACAACAAATGTTTTATACGTGTGTGAATACTGAGTATATCTTGCTGATTTTTGCTAATGCATTTTTTTAAAATATCAATTTATATCAATGAATATTGTGTTTGTAGCTTCATTGTGGAGCACATAGGATATGTAATATTTGTACACTAGTGTGAGTGTGTGCATATGTGCGCGTGTGTGAGCTCATTCACGTATTGTAGTTCCTATCAATGTGGGTTTTTTGCTGTTCTGGTTGTAGTTTTGTCTCAGATTTGTGACAAAATTATTTCCAGATCTGGCAGCTATGAGCCTTCTATTTTGCAGTGTGTGTGTACATAATATAATTTTTAAAGTATTCTTAAGAATCTTAGGTTGAAGATGTTATAATTTCACTATTATTTTAGCACAATTCAGGTGGTAAACTGTCTTGCCCAGTTTATCTTAATTTTCTACTGATGTCCATGAATTTCCATTTTTTCCAAGCAAAACATTTTCAGTACAAAACTTCCCCATGTCAGCTCATATATGATTTTTACACTGCCCCCATGATTCCTGAACAATACTCAGTGTTCTGGAGTGCAGGTTTTCCCTGTTCCCGTTATCCGTCACTCCTCTCGTATGACTACCTCTCCCTTCTGAAAGTAAACTTTCTCCCAACTTCCTATTACCATACCAACCTCAAATGCAGTTCAAATCATTCTCAGTGTTTCTAAACAAAGCTTTTTGTACAAAGAATATAGGTCCTGCATGTTTAATGTTTAAAGAATATTGATAACAATAACCTGCTAACATAATACATTGTCCAGATGCAACATAACATAAACAATAACACTTTCGTTTGTGATGTTTTTAAGTGTAAATGTATATTTGTATGAAAGTATGGTAGGGGGAAAAGAGGGAATTTAAATACTCATATTTGTAATTTCTAAGGGCAAACTCATTCAGGGTATTTTGCCCAAAGGGAAAAATCATTATACTGCATCCCTCGAGAGAGCATGTTTCATATTGACTCTACTTCTGCATAAATAAACTATCTTGGTGAGAATGCCATTCTTTGTTGAGTCTAGAACTTCCCAGAATTTTGATACAGGAAGAATGAGAGAGACATAGATCTTCTGTAGTCCATCAATCTCAGTGTTTTGTGGTAAAATATTGAAAACATGAAGTGCAATATTTCTCGAATGTAGTAGTGCCTCATCAGAATTTTTCTAATACAGTGAGATGACAGGTCATTTGTTTGATGAGGGAAAAACGTCTTTAAACATTCCCCATTCTTATAAATGTATGAAATTGTTACAGATCTAATTGTTAAAGAGTAATAATAATTTTTAAACTCAAGAAATATCACACTCAAACGGGAGCCTAACTCAACGCCTTATGACTCCAGCCAGATAGCCTTTAGCCAAGCCTTTACAAGAAATGTGTAGGGCCAAGGCAACTCTATTTTCACTACCAGAGCTCTATGGCGAGTCTTCTCCATTTCTTTGTTAATCAGTTGTATTGCTAATGGATCGTAATGTCAATTCTCAGCACTGTCACTTCCTCGAATTTTGTTTGACAAAAAAAAATTAAGTGCATTTCTTTTCCACTGGATGTGTGTGCATTCAGATACTTAGCTGTTTCTTTTGCAAAAAGTGGTTTAAGCAAAGCTGATATTTGTGCTCTCGTTAGTAGAACATGAGGAAAGCTGCATCCTGGCCACTTAGTCTTGAACATTTATGGTAGATATGGGTAGACATAATGGAATTGGCAGCTTGGAGTTGATAAAGATGAACAGGGGTTGGCGATTAATGTCCCAAATGCTAAGACCAGAGTGTGTTTTTCTTACCCTCATATAAAAAACACAAAGTATTTTGTCTTTAATTTTAAATGTTTTTAATTTTACCATACAATGTTGCCAACCATGACAAGTACTTAAAACTGAATAGTAAATGTTGCATTTCATTCTTTACAACGAAGCTCTTTTGGACTCTTTGGAGGCGCTATAACCTATTTGGCATAAAAAATGTTCTGTTTATTATCAAAACAGTTTGGCTGGTTATATTTTTCACTTAGAATGTGATATGGATGTGATCCATGGGACATATTGCCAACTCCTGTACTGAAACATTGTTTTTGTTTGATAGTTTCGTTTTAATCTAATGTTGTTGCACATAAAAATTGATCAGGTTCTCAGCAGTCTTTATTATAAAGCTATGAAATTACTATAATTTAATAAAACCACCCATAAATTATTGATTATCTCACTTAAATACTGTTTTAATTATACTTTTGAGGTTAAAACATAAGTTCTGTTTTTCTCTCTCACTCCCCCTCTCTCTTTTTGTCATGATTGTTTTTTTATATCAAACTTTTTTTTATTTAATCTGTTGCATTTTGTTCTGAAAATTTAGTATATTATAAACAGCCACTTTTAGAATTTAATATTGTCTTCACTTTTGATTAAGAGCTTTTAGTAAAGACTCAGTTTTAAATGATCCTCTTAAAATTGCAAGATATGAGAATACTTGATAAGGTATTGTCATAAAATCACACCTAGTTGTAAGTTGATGACCCATTGATTATAAAATGTTTTTTATTACCATTGGTAGGTAAGCATTCATCATCTAGTATTCACATTGGTACTAGAGGTATTGTCACATTCTGTGCATATAGTTAAGATGTTAACTTGTTTTCGGAAAGAATAATTAACCCCTGCTTTATTTGTAATATCCACAAAGTATTTGACAAAATAATTTATGGGTGGTTTTCTGTGAACCTGCTAGAAATGTAGAATTTTATCAATCTCAAATTTATCAAATTTTATGGGACAGTAAATCTGTAAAACATATTGAAGGATCAAGGTAATACCATTGTGGTGTGTTAGATTTCCTTGAGAACAATAGAAAAAGTGTGATTTGGCAAACAAAACCTGCAGTAAGGGAAGGAATTTAAAAATATAAGATTTGAAGGTTACTTTACTAAATATAATAGGAAACTTCAAACTTAAAGAAAAGATGGAGTGTATCTTGAATAAAGGCAACTTTTTGACTACTTCAATTCGTACATTCCCAAGGACATTCTGTACTTGGATTCATTCTAAAATTATGTTATATAATCCTGAAGACAAATTAAGCATCTATAACTTTGACTAGAGTTTTTATTATTAGCAGGGAGAGATGCTGCTGTCTTTGTGGAGTATGGTTTGGTAAAAGATGGGTGTGAAGGTTTTTTTTGTCATTGATATTTGCAAGAATTCACTGCACATTAGCTTTGGAATCCTTTTTTCCATACACTTGTGTTCATTGCCTATGCTTACAGCTTATTTCCTTGAAAATGTTGCAACTTCAGGAATTTTTGTTGTATTAATGTAGAAGTGAGAAATAAATGGCAACAAAAATGTGCCTGTTTTTAAAATAATATTGTAAGCCTGGATTTTGTATGAAAATGTTTGTAACAAATTTCATTAAGCACTTTTGTGTACACAGCACTTTATTGAAATTTTAAGGTGCAAAGGTATTGGAGTGTTTTTTTACATAATCTTGCACTTTGATATAGTATGTATTAGGGCTGGATTTATCGATGGATAGTCAACAGAGATTTGTCTCAAATGTTGTAAATCCTGCAAGAAATCATGAATAATTAGAATTCTGCTTAACTTGCATTAACATGTTCGCATGTTCAATTTGTTTCAAATTAATCTATATAGTTTTCAATGCTATAAGTCACATAGCAGAAACCGATTGCAATGAACTTTCCTAAAAAGCAAACAAGCTATCAGACATGAAAGTCTATGAATACAGGAAAACATTTCCTTTTACAGTCAACTAGCCAAATAAATCCAGCCCAAGTATGTATGAGTAGGCAAGAATGATCTAGTGCTTATTTCTATATTTCTAAAATGATCACTATCAAGAAAGCACAGCACTTGAGCATCTCTTGAAGGTTCGTGTTTAAGTGGCCAGGTACTCATAGAAATATAATGATTTGTATGGCAAGAAATGCCTTTCATTAGCAGGAAGTTAAATAGTTTCTCAAAATTGTATATGAATAAGAATGTGTAAGCCTTTTCAGGTATTTTAAGCCTTCCTGCCTAGATTTACTGAGTGAGTTTATTGTGAGTGCTTTTCTAATATGTCAGCACTTTTGGGTGCATGTTTCCATGTTGTGTTCAAAAATTAACCGGGTAACTTATTGTTTAACATTGTAAAACTTTTCAACTCTTTATTGTCTACAAATAGATCTTGTGTTTGGGATTATTTTGGGACAAGACTAGTACATATTTTGTTACTTTGTAAATATATATACATATTTAACATGGTTGTCACAAGTGTAATTTGAAGAAAAACTTTCTTATACATGAAATATTTTGTATCTGTGCGTAGGTTTACAGGACTCTCCATTGGTAGAAGGCAGTTTTTATCGAGAATTCTTTGTACTACTACATAAGTGTGTGCATTGCTCTATCTGGGATCTGGCAATTTGCAGTGGTTGCAACCAGTTTTGCACGTAGCTGTAACAGTAGAGTATTTTTTACTGTACATAAACCTGTATCACTACTGACAGGCAGCATGTTGCTAGACAGGCAATTTGAAAAATGCCAGGTACTAAGATCAAATGAAGGCAACAGTTTTTGGCTGCATGGAGAACTCTATTCTGGAATCAGATACTTTGGCACTTAAAGAATTATATATAAGTCAGGTGTTTCAGAACTCTCTATGTAGTAAAGTGTCAAATTCCAGCAGATTTTTTGTTTTCCAAAAAAATTCTGGAATCAGATACTTTGGCACTTAATTATATATAAGTCAGATGTTTCAGAACTCTCTATGTAGTGAAGTGTCTGATTCCAGCAGGGTTTTGTTTCCAAAAAATACATAGATTTGTTGTATTGTTTTTTGTTAGGCACAAAACTTGGATTTCAACAAGGAATTACTTTGTCACAGCCAAAAATTGTTGCATCCATAAGAGATTATGTTACATGCTGTAGCATTCCATTTAGCTTGTTTTACATGTTGCTTAGTAATAAACCCACCTGTTGATAATATGTGAGATGATGTTTGTTTCCCATCCCATAAACATCTGACATTATTGCTTTAATTTTCTTGAATTTTTTTCATTGGAAGTATATTTTGAGTTTTCTTTATAATACACGAGTCCTTGTTCTGAAATGGCTTGTGAGCATTATCTTTTTAGAATTTATTATTTGTCAAGACCCAAACTGTAGAAAGACTTCACATTCTGTATAAGAGAATGCTAAACTAATTTGATGTTATTCATTTGAAAAATGTTTCACCGTTTTCAATAGAAATGAACTGATTATTTTTTGGTGGTCATATAGTAATTCCACTGACATTTTTCAGAAAATAAGAAGCTAAAGGTAAGCATGGAGTTTAATTTACAACATTCTCAGGAAACGACAAAAAAATAGCAATGTGTATGGAAGAAATTACATAGCACCTTTTGGTGGGATGGAGAACTCCATCCATCCATTCATTTATTCATTTTGCATGGAGAACATTAGATATTCAATCATGTTTGTCGAACATATTTTGTGTGTGGGTGTGTGAAACCAAGAAAACCTGTCTATGTACCAAGGGCAACTTCAGAAAGCATTTAATGCAGGACCATTTTTAAATATGAAAGGAAACAATTTTTTTTTAATTTAATTTTCTTGGTATGGTAATAATTATAAATTTGTTACTTTCTATGTGTATATTTTAATCAGTACATGAAAGTGTCTAAAACAATACTTTTATTAATCTTTCTACTGATTTTCTACTAGAAATATTTGGAATTAGTCATTTCAAATATATAATTATATCCATGCCAACATTTCAAATATTAAGTATAAAAATGTACTTACTTAAAATATAAAATTATGTTAATTTTTAAAACTATCAAAATAAACTTTGAAATAATATTTCTTTTAACTATTTTTAATCCAACACACTTTCGAGGAGGGCATCCTGACCTCCCTGGAGCTGCCCTTGCTATGTACCACTGGAATTGATTGAATACAAGAAGCAGAATTAATGAAATTCATATTACAAAGATTTGTGTTGGTGTTTACAAGAACCAGCATTGGAAAATATCGAGTAACCATTTGACCGCCTTTGTCAACAACTGAATTAGAAACATGTATAAAATAATTTTAAATGCACAAAATCTGCTAGCTGAAGCTAAGCAAGAATGTTTATTTTATGGACATATTTTAATTAATTAAATGTATGATTAATTTATGTTATTTTCTTAATTAGTTTGAATTTTTGCACTCAAAATAATTTAATTATAACAAGTTAAACTAGTGATACTATAACTTTCTAGGAATTAATTGTAAACGCAATGTAATATTGCACATTGCATGTTACCACTATTTCACTCTGTCGACACATCCAAACAACAATCTGAAACTTCTATTATTTGGAGGAAAGTATATAAAATAATTTAAAGAATAAGATTGGTAAGTAGATTTATTTAAAAAGAAATCTCTAGCTTTAATACTGAAAGAGGAGGACTTTGGAGAAAAAAATTGAATGTTTGCAATTTTTCAAAAGATTTTATTGAAAATTGAACCTACTCAATATTAAACAAACAATGCTCTTTTACCGGGGGTGATTGGAGCCATTTTCAGAAAATCATCGAAACTTGTTATGAATTCATTCAAAATTATATGAAAATGCTCATCATAAAATTGTATTTGATATTATTTAACTAAGGAAAAATTAACTAATTCTGTAATATTGTAGGAGGAAGACCAAACATTGTAGTATTTTCTAAACTTTTTAAATATTGGATGCACTACTGAAAGTCAGAATAACTAATCATATTTAGTTAGTTTGTGGTGGGTTCAGGGGCGGGGATTAGGAGTCATTTTTTTTAAAATTTCAAAAGGGTGTGGAACTTGATGAAAGGACCTCAAAAAATGAGAATCTCTTCCTGTTTTGGTTTAGTTTTGTTTATAGATTATTATAATGTATAATTGCTTTTAGTATGGCAGAAATTGTAATTTCTGCCAAACCTCAACTCTTGTAATTTGAAAACGTCCAATTCAAACGAAGCGCCTTCGGTGCATATCTGCTTTTAATTCGATAGCCATAAAGGGTAATTTCTATCTTTTACAAAAGAATCAAACATGAATTTAACACTTGCAGCTATTAAACGCAAAAGAAAGATAAATATTTCACCCAAGGTTGCCTTGATTTCATCGAAGTGAGGTAACAATTTCTGAATATAATCAGAACTTATTAAAGGCGGTTCCACTCGCGGCATTCGTCGAATCCCGGGTAGTGTGGGCCATGTGGGCGGATTGCTTGCGATTCGCCCTGGGTCAAACATTCGGTATTCGCCCTTCGGTCTTAAGGACGTATTACTCGCGCAACTTTTCTGGGACGATGGATTGAAGAAATGCGGGTAGATTGGATGTACTAGTTACGAAATTGGCCATTAGATTTTATAAAGCAATGCCAATCTCTGGAGAATCAGTCATGCCTTCGCAACGTTCTCAATAATATGCGTTCTAACTTCTCAGGAGTTTGAGGTACCTCCTGTAATATATCTTTACCTGCTTCGGTCATTTCTTTATATTTTTGGAGAAAATAATGGATAGAAGTTCAAAAGAAAATTGTTTCTATTTCGCGCCAGTGAACATGTGTTTGGAATGTTGTCAGTAGTGCTCGCTGCGAGCTTTTGCCTTCATCTGTTTATTGTGCCCAGAGGGGGAAGCAAGGTCATCGTTCAAAAAAAGTTGCGCGAGTAATATTAAAGTGATCGAACATCCGCCGAACACATATACTGTACATGATTGGGCGAGCAGTAGCTCGCTGCTCGGCGAATAAAACAAATGTATTCGTTAGTTCTATTATCCACGCACTTTTCTTGACCCCTTCGCTAATTGCGAGAAGAGTGGGGAGTTTTAGTTATTTAAACGAAAGGATTTTTATATCAAATTTGTAGTTTCTTTTTCGATACAAAATATTTCCTATTACACAGTAGCGAACATTTCTGGTTATCAGATTTTGTCTATAACGCTCGTTGCTATCATTTATTCTCTATTCAACTAATGTGGGCAGAGGAGAGGGGGGTAGGTATCCCGGGCTCAAGAAAACGTGCGCGTATAATACGTTAAATATAATTACATTATCTTCCTTAAATCTATTTATTTCCGTAAGTATTTTATCCATATCATACTGTCTTCGTGACTAGCAGCAATGGGAAGAATTGGAATATAATTTGAAATCACTGTGTTGCTACAGTCCGAAATGATAGTGACAGTCCGAAATGAATTGAATAGCGGGAAATTCATACGTATCATTTCGAATTTTTCCCTCGCACTTTTGCGCCGAAAATGGGATGAGCACCAAGTTCTTTACTTCGTAGGTGAAAAAAAGTGAAGAACAAAATATAGACTAATTTCTGAGAAAATAATTGTTAACACTTAAAAATTGCCTACTTTACTCACAATTACGCGAAAACTATTCAAATTTTCGAAAAATTGTACATGACTTTATTTAAAAATCTGTCTTTAAAGAACGATGATCAGTAGGGGGAAAATCCAATATTAGTTGTAGGAAGATGCAAAATGAACTATTTAAATTTTCGTAAAATCAGAATTTTCAACGAAAATGCGACATTCTCTTAAGCGTCCAAAAACAAAACTGAATCAAAAAATTCGAACCTTTTTTTTTTTTTTTTTTTTTTTTTTTTTTTTTTTTTTTTTTTTTTTTTGCGAAAATGTTCCAGAGGCCTTCACGTAAAGAATCCCTCCCCTCAATTAAAATATCAGTTTCAAATAGGTGAATATCAATTTTGGAGAAATTCGGCTTAATGGTTTAAGCGCTAGCATAGACGTTTTGTCGTCAATCGATTTTTCAGTATCAAGGACCCATAAAGTATGGATTCTGACCACACAACGGTTTAGAGGATTTATTATCTTAGGAACAAGATTTATTCACTTTTTCGTTACTGGGGCCCTGCAATTCGAGTTTTTCTGTCGAAAATTCGCCATTTTCCAAGTACTGTTACAATACTTTCTCGTCTTATGTAATAGTTTTTGGCAGTGTGTATGAATTTATTTATTTTATGGTCCGTTGTGTCTGAATGAAGATATCTTACATAACTGCTTTGCGAGTTGCCTATTCCATAGACAGTGCCTGTTACCAGTTAGTTTCATGACAATGGACATAGCAGTCAAAATGTAAGACCTTCACAAAACTGTTGGATTATAGGGCAATCAGAACATTTTAACGTCATAGGATAGAATAAATAAAACGTATTGGCCTGCACAACGTGTATTTTCTTAAAATATTTGAATACACAGAATTGCAACACAAAACGAGTGAAAAGTTAAGATTTAAAACATTCGAATCTCGACTTGCTCTAAGGGACATAATACAAATATTGCTCATAACAAATTTTGCGTCTTTATTGATTAAAATTGTCTTGAAAGTCTGTGCAGCTGAAGCTGCTCGATGAAGAGAATAAGAGACAAAATGTTCATCAAACTTGAGTTTCTTAAAAGATAGGTCATTTTAGATTTTACAGAAATTTCTCCGTCGCCGGTCAGAAGGTTAAAATGTAGTAGGGTATGTCAGCAATTTTCTGGACGTATGGTAACACTTGAGTTATGGGTGGGGCTTTTTCGTACAAGCGAAGGATCAATATCTTTGGAGAACGCATATCTTACACATTCTATTTATTTGACGTCACTAGTGTTATTGCGAATGCAGCTGCTTACATACATACATTACAGGCAGGGGCGTATCCGGAGACGAAATTTGGGAGGGGAAATT